CCTTTTAAATAATATAAATAATATAAATATATAAATATATACCTTCTTGTGGTGAACGTATCTTCTCACTATTAGAGGGGTTTTCAGTCTTCTCAGAGCTATCGGTATTGTCCGAATAATGACTAATTAAATCAAAGACATCATATGGTGATATCGCATCATCCGGATTAGGGGAATCTTGTGAATTAATTAGTTGAATAGGTGGAGGAAGTTGTATCTGGCCATCATGAGTATTAGAACGTTGATTGAAATGCTGTTGACGTTGTCTATTTGTCATGGCAGGTAATGACGAATGGTTATTCCGATCTCGTGAGTTAACAGGAGCTACATTATTACCATTTCCTTTTAATGATGAATCTCTTGGATAAACTCTTGGTGATGAAAGTGGTTTGAAAGTGGGTGATGAAGATGGTTTGAATGTGGGTGATGGAGGTGGTTTGAATGTGGGTGATGGAGGTGGTTTGAATGTTGGTGATGGAGGTGGTTTGTATGTGGGAGAGGTATTATATGTTGGAGAAATATTATTCGGTTGACGCGTTGGTGATAGTCTTGGAGAATATTGTGGAAGTGGAGGAGGAAATGCAGGAGACCTCAAAGTATTGCCATTTTTTGCTGTTGACCTCTGAGTTACCCTTTGATGTGAGCCCAGAAGGATGCCATTTTCAATATGATCCGATGAAGGAATTTGAGTTAAGTTTTCATTTAAAGAGGATGAAGGAGAATGCGCATAAATGCGCTGTTTATAATTAGATATATGATCAATGTTTGCGGAATCATTTGATGTTGTATAATATGCGTGTTCATAATGATCACGTTTATTAAAATTGTCGTCATGTCCTGAAATTTTCATGCTTTGACCATCTTCAACATACTCATTATAAGCACCAAAGTTGTCGTAATTATCACGGCTACTTCCATCCGATTTAAGACCATAAACAGAATCGTAACTCATATACCCGGCGTCGCCACGTGACATTATATCAACACGATAAAATACGGAATATGATTCCGTTCCCACACTATAAAGAGTCACGGTTAATTAAATGGATAAATATAAATGAAATTTAACGATTGCATAAGCGTGCATGGATATCAACCTAGAACGTATTTCAATTCTTAGAACTGCCAAAATCGATGCAAGTGAAAAAATTAGGAAAACAAGCTGTATTTATTATTTATATCGTGTAATTAAAATTCACAAAAGTTTACCTGTGATTTTAAATACGTGACCACAAGAATGCCTAGAAATAAATCAAATTTAAGCATCAATGCTATGCATGAAAAA